CCATGCAGGACCTTGTATTACCCGAGGGGTCCAGAACGTGAAGGAACAGTGGAAATGAAATCCAGCGGCTTTGGACACAAGTCCTGCTTGTTCAACATACTGTTATACAAAGAACTTCCTAAAAGGGAGAGCTTTTGACCCCCACTGGGTCCTAAGTGCCAAGAGCCCCTGTCTTGTCCATCATTGCACCTACAACACCTGGTACAGTGTCCAGCGTATGCCATGTGTTCCATAAATACCTGTTGAATAAATTGATAAATATTAATAGAGTTGAGTGGGCTGCAGTGTGAAGGGGTGAGTTTCTTGTGATGGGAAGGATGGAAGCAGGTGGTCCCTGAGGTGGACTGGCAGAGGGGCCCTGCTTTGTTTGGAAGACTGGCCAGATGACGCCTGTGTTTCCTGCCTGCCTCCGATTTTCACGCTTTCCAGCTCTGGCACGCCTTCCCTGTCTCACTAATAAGGAGTTAACATCAAAGCCCAGGAGAAGCCTAAGGCTTTAGCAAGGGGGTGTTTTTGTTTCTGCTGTTGCTTTTTAGCAAGAATCAAATTATCGAGCAAAGTGCAAATCTCTGTGCTTGGTGTTTACACGTATTATCCCTTATCCTTGGAATAAACCGGAAAGGCAGGTATTATTTTTAATCCTTCACTTCTGAAAGGTTAAAGATTTATTCAAGGCTGCTACCCCAGCTCACGAGTTGCTGAGGTGATTCAGTTACAGGATGAGTCTGCTTTGGAGACAGGGTGTGGAATCTGTGATAATCTCTCCTTACTAATGAGGTGGGAAGCTTTTTCAGGCACATGATCCAAAAAGTTCAGATGGTGTGGGGAAAATCATGTGTGATTTTAGGATTGGAGGAGGCAGGTTTTGAGAGGCAACAGGCCATACCTTCAGAAGGCTTTGAAGCCAAGGAAAGGAAAAATGGGGCAGGTCTCAAATATCAAGCCCCTTGTCTGCCTTTGCAGGTAGGTGTTGGCACACATTTGGGCAGCAGTAGACTTGGGACTATGAGCCGAAGACCACTGTGTGTATTTGGATCTCTGTGGGCTTTGAGGAGCTGATGAGTGGATTTCTCTGGACCTGAAGAAACACAGTGGTGGATATCAGAGCCACACGGCTGGGATGCACTTAGGATGAAGATGTCATTGTAGTCAAATATATCTATTTTTGTTTTTCAAGCTTTTTTTTTATTGAAGAATAACATAATACTTGCACGCACAAGTCCTAAGTGCACAGTTCAGTGACTTATCCCAGAGTGAATACTCCTGTGTGGTTGCCACGTAGGGCAAGAACACCCCAGCCCCCCAGCCCTTACTGTCCTAGAAGTCCCCAACCCCTCACCCCAAGGGCAACTGCTGTTCTTTTCTAACACCAGAGATAGCTTTGTTTGGTTTTGAAATTCAAATAACTGGAATAATACATTCTGTATTTTTTTGGTGTCTAGCATCTCTTGTTCAGCATGATGTCTGTGAGATTCATCTATGCTATTGGGTATCATTTGTTCATTTTTACCGCTGTATGTTATTCCACTGTAGGACTTCCCCACAATTTATCTTTTTCATTCTATCACTAGACATTTTGTTTCCAACTTGGGGTATGACTAATAATGCTATTGACATTCTTGTACATGTCTTTTGGTGCATATATGTACATGTTTCTATTGCATATGCCTAGGAATGGAATTATTGGGTCCTAGCATATGCCTGTGTCCAGCTTTACTAAATCCTGCTAAATAGTTTTCTAAGGTGAAGCCACCAATTTACACACTCACCAGCCAGTGTGTGAGAGTTCGTTTTTTCACATCTCTGCCAATACTTGGTAATAGTCCTTTTAATTTTAGCTACACTGAGGAATAAACCCCTTGAGATTTTAATTTGCATTTCTCAGATGACTAAAGCAGTTGAACATCTTTTCAAAGGTTTAGGGGACCACTGGTTTTCTCATTGTAAAATGCCTATTCAAGTCTCTTGCCCATCTGCTTATTTTGTTAATCTTTTTCTGCATTGATTTGTAATGGTTCTTGTGATACTATGGATGTGAGCTCTTTGTCAGTTCGATGTCCTGTAAATATCTTCTCACACGCTGCGGTTTTACTTTTCATTCTCTTAATGACATTTCGTGAGGAATGAAAGTTACTAGTTCAAAAGAAATTTTTTTTGTAAAATATATCACAATATTTATCACTTTGACCACTCGTAAATGTATAATTCAGTGGCTTGCATTTGCAATGTTGTGTAACCATCACGACTATCTATACCCAAGACTTTTTCCTCACTCCCAACAAATTTTGTGCTCATTAAACAATAACCCCCCGTTCTCCTTTCTCTCAGCCCTTGGTAACCTTTATTATACTTTCTGTCTCTATGAATTTGCCTATTCTAGTCACCTCATATAAAGAGAATCATACAATACTTGTTTTTATTCACCTGGCTTATGTCCCCAAGTAAAATGTTTTCAAAGCATATATACACCACATTTTGCTTATCCATTAATCTGTTGATGGCCACTTGGGTTGTTCACTTTTAGGCTATTGTGAATAATGTCGCTATAAGCATTGGTGTTTGAATGACTATTTAAGTCCCTGCTTTCAATTCCTTTGGATATATACCGAGGGGAAGAATTGCTGGGTCATCTGCTGTCTCTACATTTAACTTTTTGAGCAACTGCCAGATTGTTTTCCATGGTGACTGTGCTATTTTACATTCCCACTAGCAATTCATGAGGGTTCAAATTTCTCCATTTCTCCTTCCTACCTTCCTTCCTTCCTCCCTTCCTCTTTCTTTCTTTCTCTTCATCTTTTCTCTTTTCTTTCTTTCTTTCTTCTCTCTCTCTCTCTCTCTCTCTTTCTCTCTCCCTCTCTTTTCTCCCATCCTCCCTTCTTCTTTCCTCTCTTTCTTTCTTTTCATTATAGCATCCTAACATGAAGTGGTATATCCTCATGGTTTTCATTTGCATTTACCTAACGACTAACGATGTTGAGCATTAATTCATATGTTATTGACCATTTGTATATCTTCTTAGGAGAAATTCTATACAAGTCTTTAGCTCATTTTTAAATTGGGTTGTTTTTGTTATTCGTTTCAGGAATTCTTTATATATTCTGGGCATTACTCTCTTATCATATATATGATTTGCAATATTTTCTCTCATTCTATAGGTTATCTTTTGCTTTCTTTAGAGTATCTTTTGATGCACAAAAGTTCTTAATTCTGGTAAAGTCCAGTTTATCTATTTTTGCTTTTGTTGCCTGTGCTTTTGGCTTCATATCCTAATAAACTCGTTGACAAATACAATGCTGTGAAGATTTTCTACAATGTTTTATTCTAACAGTTTTATTGTTTTAGCTTTTACAAAAGATTATTAAGTGAAAAAAATAGGTTTCAAAATACTGTTACATTCTGATTCCATTTTTGCAGAAATCACATGTTATATATCTATATATGCTTAGGGGGAAAAAAACGGTCCTAAAGAACATGTTAATAGGGATTAGCAAGAGGTAATGAAATTACTGGTGCTTTATTTTATTTTGTTTTGTCTTTTGTTACGGCGTGATTTTTATAACCTTCTTTGTGTTTCTCTGTGTTTACTAAAATTTCTCAATTAAATATGCATTTTGTAATGTGAAATAAACACTAAAAGTTTTTTTTAATTCAATTCAACTGAAGTTTATTCATTTGGGCTAAGACTGTGTATCCTCAGTGTAACCCATTATTTCAACCCATTTTTCAGGCTGTAACACCTTGATAGAACTCTAGTCACTTAGAAAACGAATTGTCACCTTGGAAATGTGTAGTGGGGCAGCTCAGTCCTAAGAGAACAGGAAGGACATGTTGGTTTTGATGAGGAGAAATGGAGAGGACTGGTGTGTGTGTGGGGGTCCTTCAGAGACTGGGTAGAGCCTGACCTGAGCAAGGTCTGCACAGTTAGAACTCAGGATAATTGGGCAGAAAGGGAGCGAGTCAGAGGGCGGGGGAAGAAGGACTTTACAGTTTGTTTATGGCAAGTCCTAACCTTCAGTGCACATCCAGAATTTGCGGGGCCTCTGTTTATACAATTTCAGGTGCCCTCTTTAGGAAAAATGACTTACAAATGCAAAATTAAGTACTAAAAGTACTTTTAAAAATACTAAGTATTTCCTCAGAAGGAAAAAAAGTCACAAAAAATTGCTGAGTCTTGGAGTTCTTGGTCCCTTTCTTCTGAGAATTTTCTAGGTGATTGACCAGAAATACCTTGAAATTGTTCCTGATTGTTGCCTGGCTTCCCCTCCCCTTCTGGAACCCTCTACCATTTCCAAGACCTCCCAGCCCTCACCGGGATCTACCCACATGCGGGGCCCTGAAGTTGAAGCCTTATTTGCGTCATTGTAACTATGCTTCTGCTGATGGTCTTTCTCATTGCAAGTCTTACCAAGATTTCTCCTGGTTAATTCTTAGGTGGTGAAACTCTAGGAGGCAATTCCTCTATGAATTCTTGTTGGCACATCTTGTCGTGGGTTCCTCATATCGCAGGTGGCGCCACGCTCTTAAAGCAGAGACTTGTATTCCCTTCTGCTTTCCCTGGAAGAAGAAGGGAAACTGAAACCAGCATTTGCTAGGGAGGAGGTCCACAATTCTGTCTGAAAACAAAGGCTTTGGAAAATATGCAAATTGTTCTAATTCATTTTTCTTCCCCTCTCTGGTATTATGGTGGGCGATTCAAAATTTATCACAAGTGTGAAATCTTGATTCGCAAGTAGGGAAATTGTAGATCAAAACGTCACACATATAGGCCCAGATTCTTCGTTCACATTTAGGTGAAATATGTAGCTGAGCATTCCAAGTGCTCAAAGAGGGTGTCCCTGGAAAATCTATTTCCCTGAATGGTGAATTACCAAGTCATACTGAGTATCATTTGCCATTTTTTTTTGACCTGAGAAATTCAACATGCATAGCAAACATTTCTTACTTAAGCCTCATATCACTTAGATGGGGAAGGTTCAGCAAATACTGTCTTTGTTGCACAGGTGGGAAACACTGAAGCAGGATGAAGTTCCAGGGATGTACAGGTTCATGCAGCGGAGCTCAGACATCCACGAGGCTCTGCCATCCAGTCCCTCTTCCCCCTCCCCTGTTATGTGGCACAGGGAGAAGGCGTGAGGATGGCTGTGTAAGCAGCGCCTTTGCCAGGTAAGTCAGGGACTTTCTGCTCTTGCTCTCCATGGACTGGAAAATTCAGTAGCGCTCTTTTGGGTGTGAGGACTAGAAATCCAGTTGAAAAGGGGAGTTTATGATAAAAATAGAGGAGAGTCTCATGGAAATCCCGAGTGGGCTCACAGCCACCCGAGGGAGGACTGAATCCAGGCGCTGGAAAGAGTCCGCTCCATCCCTTATCTCCTTTTTAGTCTTTATCACCAGAGACAAACTTTTCTCTCTTCCTTCCATTCATGGGAGAGAATATGGCTCTGGCTTTCAGCTACAGGTTGAGACTAATTTGCTGGTTTCTCTGAGCCAGACAGAGAGAATCGGGTTGCCCCAGGGACAGGTGCTCACCCCTGGTCCAATCTTACACTGTCACATGGTACAAACGTGGCTGCCAGCAGGCTGCCCTGGGGGATCAGAGGCAGTTCCAAGAAAAAGGGGTTGGGGGATTAGGAGCTGGGCCAAACACTCCCAAAGTGTTTATTTTAGGTGGAAATTTTATGAGAGCATCGAAGGCCTCATTAAGGGCTGCCTTGGGACATCAATCTTCACTTTAATCAAAATAGCACAGCAGGCTCGTCCCTCAAAAGACTGCCCAGTCTTTACGCTGCTTTCTGAAAATTCGCAGTGTGTGAATAGCAACAGTGGTTTCTGTGCCTTTAAGATGCTTGCACACCCTTTAAAGGAAGTGATCCTGATCCTTCAAAATACAAGATGAAACTACCTTTTGCAGCAGTGGACTGGAGAAGCTGGGCAAGATTCTCTGAAAAACTTTATAACGAATGCACAGTTTAATTATTAATTCTTCTAATAAATACTGCCGAGGCACTGGGAATATAATAACGGAGAAGCTATCATCCCTGCCATCACAGTCTATTGGGGGGAAAACAGATGTATCAACAGGAAATTAAAATACAGTGATGGAGGTGCTAGGATGGGAGAGTGTATGTGGTGGGGGGGAGGATGCAAGGGGGACAATGGGAACACCAAAGAGGAGCACTTCACCACACTTGGGATGGGAGCAGGACTTGGAGAGATGGGAGAAGGTAGTGGACATGGGGAAGTTTCTAGGAAGCAAAAATATCTCAGCTGAGGCTTGAAGGACACAAGGGATTTCTGAGCCCCCAGGAGAGATGAGAATGGCTGGAAGAGAAAGACAGAGAAAGATGACTAATCCCATAGAAAGGCACATGCAGAGAGCTTTGAATATACGTAAATCTATATGACACACTCAGGAAATTTGCTAATAGCCACACCACCAAGCTTTTACAAGTGCACACGAACTCTCAGCCAAGTCGGTGAAGGAAATTGGGATCAAGGCCAGAGTTTCAAGAACCTTGAATGCTGAGAGTGTTCTGATTATATTTCCTAATGCAACTTAAGAGAAAATGTGGTCATCTTACCCAGCCCATTTAAAAATGGTAAGTGAAACGGTCTTGGCATTTTTGAAATGACATTGTTTGCTCATTGGGGTGGTTAATTTGATGTGCCAACTTGGCTAGGCCACCATACCCAGAGATTTGGTCAAATACCAGGCTGCACGTTGCTGTGAAGGTATTTTTTAAAAATAAGATGAACGTTTAAATCGGTAGACTTTGAGTGAAGCAAGTGACCTTTCATAATGTGAAAGTTGAAGGCTTTCAGGGAAAAAGACTTCCCCCAAGGGAGAGGGAATTCTGTCTCCAGACGGCTTTCAAACTCAGGCTGAAACATCAGTTCTTTCTTGGGCATCCAGCCTGTCCACCTACCCTGCAGATTTTGGACTTGCCATTTGCCAGCCTCTGCAATTACATGAACCAATTCCTTAAAATCTCTCTCTCTTTCTCGATAGATAGAAATACGTAGGTAGATAAGATATGTGTTTACTGTGTGTTATGTAACTTCTGGTTCCTTTAGCCAAGATGACTAGTCCAACTTTTTTTTTTCCCCTTCGATTAATCACATCCTGGGATCCAATATATAAATCCATTATTGCATGTCTTGTGTATAGCTGTTCTAAAGAATCTTATTTTCTGTACTATATGTATCAGAAGAGTGTACATTGCAATGTAACGTAAAAAGAAAAATCTACATGAATAATGCAGCCAACTATCCAAGTGTTATACAGCTAAAACAACAAATAAACCTTGCACAATGAAAAAAAGATATATATATATATACATAATGTATGTATATATAGTCAGTCAGATAGATGTAGATCCTGTTGGTTTTGTCTCTGTAGAGAACTCTGACTAATACAGTGTGTCTACTTTCATCCTGTAAAGTTTCTTTTAGACACACATACATTTATTTTTTCTAATAAATTTTCAGTAATGATGTATCAGTGTCAAAAGATCTGCTTGCTTTACATTTTAATACATGCTCACATTAATTTATGATACACATTCAAAAGAAAAATATCAATTTAAAATCCACGTTCTCCTTAAAACATATTCCAGACTCATTGATGCAATAGGTTTTTTCTTTTTCCTCTCTATCTCTGGAAATTATCTAAATGTCCATCAGTCAAGAGGATCACTGATTGCCCTATTAATACATGAACACAATTATATAAATTGCAGCTGTAAAAATGAGTGATACTGAAGTTTTATTTTTGTTTATTTATTTTAAGGGAACTCAGTGCTGCCTCTTATCCTATCTTATATACACCTAAGTACAAAGGATAGAAAGTTGAATCTGGTATCAGTCTCTGATACTGATGACCTTTAAGTGGGGCCACTTGGGAAGTCAACCTGGGGAAGTTTTGAACTAAGCCTCTCCCACTGTGTTTGGAGGGGATATATCTTCTTGCTTCTTTTACTGTCCATTCATTAAAACTTGTTCAAGCTGTCTGTAAGAATGAAGTCTTTTTTTCTTTTCTTTTTCCTAGTTCCTTCTCCCTTCCAGCTTCCTCTTGCCCCCTCCTGCCCACAGATAACCCATGTTAATGATATGTTTATTTAAAATTATATTCACACAGGCTATTTTTGCCTCTTGTTTTTATTATATAATCTCTACATCTTATTTCCCACTAGCAGTATCTTGTGGAAATCTCTCCAGCTAAATGGGCAGAGAAAAAGCCTATATTTCATTTGCTGCATTGCATTCCATAGTATGCATGTGACAACAGTTATTCAACCAGTCCCTTAACGATGGCCTTTTGGTCTGTTTTGAGGGTTTTTTTTGCCTCTTCAGTGCTGCAAAGGACATCCTTGTTCATATGTCTCTGCAAGTTTTACAACCACTTAATTACTTCCCACATATGCCCCAGTTAACCCACTTTGGTAGAACAAACAAAATTTATAGTGATTTTTAATAAAATTTTATTTAATTAAGCACTCCACCCCAAACAGATTGGTTTCCATTATCTTTATATTTAATTTCTCATATTTTGACATTTCTCTATATGTTCCTCTTATACTTAAGGAAAGATACAGGAGCCCCTAACACAGTGTTCTTAAGAATTCAATCTTCAAGAAGTGTGTTTATAATAATATAGATTAAAAAATAAAACTTTCCCCCTTGCTCCCCAAATTTGAACACAGTTGTAATTTAAAATGTGCAAATCCAAGGGTATGACCATGAACTAAGAGTTATTTTTAATTATATAGATGGCATTTGAGATACCATTGTCCCAGGTGACCTTTTAGAAAATTTTATACATAGGTCAGAACAGGCACTTGTCAGCTTGTCTGCTTGCAGTAGACACAAAGGTTGCAACTAAGGCTAACCTTTTAGGGGAAAAAAAGTTAGCCGGATCTGGTGGTTATTGCTACAGAATTCCAACATGAGTCTAGGGTACATCAGCCACTCAGTGCCTTCAAACATTGCCGTGGGACAATGGGAACAGCAGGACCACTTCAGGGAAGCAATTTGTGGAAAAGCTCACACTCTGTAACCTGGAAATCTCAGCTCTAAAATAATCCAAAACGCTCACAGATACAGAGAACAAACTAGTGGTTACTTGCAGGGAGAAGGGAGTGGGGAGGGGCAATATAGGGGGTAAGGGGGAAAAAGTTATATGGGATTCTATGAAATCATGTTTGTAGAATTTGAAGAATCTTTCATTCAATCAAAAAGAAAAAAATAATCCAAAATATGTACACAAAATGTATTTTGACAAAAATTTCTTGTCATGGCCTTTTATTTACATAAATATGACACTGAAAGAAATGTCAATGTCCAAATGTAGGAGAAAGTTTAAATAATTGCAGAAAGACTTGATGAACTTTTATGTAGACCTTATAAAGGAAGGTTAGGAAGACTATGGAGCAATACTGACTTAAGAGAACAGTGCAGTCTGCAAAGTTATGTGTGCAAATTGTTTACAACTACATTAAAACATACACAGGCACAGAAATCTGGTGAGAGATACACTTAAATCCTAATTGTTGACTGAATGGAGTTTTGGGGGAGAGGAGGATTTTGAGTGATTAAAAAATTCTATTTTCCCAAATTTCTATAATTGTGTTATATTAGTATTATGCTTTTTTAAAAAGAGAGAATCACATAAGAAACCAGATTTCTGATGAAATTATAAATTCACCTCTATGAACCAGTGGGAATGATCTGAATTGAAGTGACATAAATGAAGTGACAATACAGGTTTTCATAGCAACAGTATCTTTTGCAGACAAAGAATATTTGAGAACAGATAATACAAGGAAGATTGTGTTTAGATTTTTCAATTTGTTAATTCAGCATTGATTCAAACAAACAATATCACAATCCACAAATAAAAAGAGGAAGAGGAAGAGGACAGAGTTGATTGTGATGATGAAATTTGATGAAGTGTAGAAAAGGATGGGAGTAACAGCAAACAACAGAGCTTGATTGTACCCTGAATCAAGCTCTGTCAAAACCTATTATTTCCCTTTTTATACATATGATCAAAAAAGTTAAAGATTGAGTTGAAGCCCCTACCAATTACTTTCATATCCCGTTTTCCCTTCTCTTTACCTAGAGATAATCAATAGCTTTGGTTTAATCATTCCCATGCCTATTTTTAT